GCCCCTCTCCAGTCCTAGGACCCCTCTCCTCCCCTCTCCATGGCCAGTGATGGCTCTCCCTGCCTCTGGTGACTGCCCATGTGGACCTATCCCCCTGCCCCCACGACCATATTAATGTGCCTAAAGCCCATTTTCATCAAAGTCTTTTTTTGATTAAAACAAAATGGAACAAATAACCAAAGCCACCCCAGTCCACACACACACACACACACACACACACACACACACACACACGACCCTCCTTCGGTGTATCCCCAGTGCCTACAGAATTAAGTACAATCCTCTACATGGTACTCAAAATCTCAGTATGGCCCCAGACATCTTCCCAGCTTGACCTCTAGCACCTTCCCTACATGTAACACACGTGTGGCCGATGTGGACTGACAGCCATATCCCAAACATGTGCCCGGTTTTCCTGCTCCAGTGGCGGTGGCTGGTATGTGCCCTCCTCTTCGAAGTCTGTGTCCTATGCCTGCCTGTGTTTACAGAGCCTTTCTACCTCCGCCAACTCCATCAAACTTAATATGTCCCACTTCCTCTACCACACTCCATATATAATTCTACCCTGTTTTGTCTTGTGTTTTATTATGAGCTCCATGAGAACACGGTCTATATTTTAAGAAGCACCTTTTAATCTCTTACACTGCCAAATATGTGGGTGTACTGAAAAGACTGCAGCCATGTGACCAGAATCATGTGGCCATGGAGAAAAATGGTGTCTCTGTGACTTATTAGCTGAGAGACTTCTGAAGAGTTACTTAGCCTTTCTGAGCTTTTGTTCCTTTATTAGTACAGCAGTAATGATAATATCAACCCTAGAATATTGTGGTCAGGAACTGAATGTCTGTTAAAGTGTCTTTACTCAAAATAATTGCTCAGTGATGATTCATAGCTGTCCTTCCCTTCTTAATGCATATTTACTAGACTGTTTTAAGTATGCTATATAAAGCAGTAAATATTTATGGATCCACTTTTCTAGTTCCCGACTCTAGTTATCTCAAGTTGTTATACAGGTGCAAAAATCCTTTTCTTCTGTCTCCCCTACGAGGTGGTAACTTGGCCTGAAAAATATGGAAAGCACCAATTCCAAAGCCCTATCTTTTCTGGTCAGTCATGTGCATTTTTACAATAAACATTCTAAGGGCACCTGGGTGGCTCGGTTGGTTAAGCATCTGACTCTTGATTTCTGCTCAGGTCACGATCTCGTAGTTGGTGAGATCGAGCCCCGCATTAGTGCAGAGCCTGCTTGGGATCCTCTCTCCCCCATTCTGTCTACCTCTCTCTCTGCCCCTTCCTGGGGCTAGCACTCCCTCATGTATGCTCTCCCTCTCAAAATAAATAAACTTAAAAAAAATTCTACTTAAGCTGTTATTCTGGAAAACTGGAATTTCATTGGCAATCTCTGATCTAGTCGTGCACATGAGTTTCTAAAGGTAAATACCACCAACTTTAGAAGCTAGAAATATAAAGGCAGGGACATGAGTAAGAATGGTGGCACAATTCCATGACCAAGTGTCTGTGGTAGTTGGGACAAGGGCAGAGGACACCGGCAGGTAGAAGAGAGAGAACAGCCCATTGTTTAATGCTGATCAATGGCCATGTTTGTCATACTAATAAGAAGCATTAACTCCTAATTTCAGTTACTATTCAAATGTGGCTGGGGCGCCTGGGTAGCTCAGTCGGTTAAGCATCCACCTCTTGGTTTCAGCTCAGATCATGATCTCAAGGTCACGAGATACAGCCCCGCAATGTCCTCTGTGCTGAGCGTGGAGCCTTCTTAAGATTCTCCCCATCTCCCTCTGCCCCTCCCCTGCTTGCACACACTTGCACTACCTCTCTCTCAAAAGAAAGAAACATTTTTTAAAAAGAAGAAAAAAATGGGCTTTCAGAAATAGGGATAAGATATGGGCATACAGGTGTTTTACACATAGGACTTCACACCCCCAAATATAAGCTTGCTATGGAATTCTGCCGTCTATTCTCACGTTTGTCTAAACGAGCAAACAAGAAAACAAACGTCAGCCAGGACAGTGCAAAAAATGGTCATCTCATTCCATCAACAAAATTTCATTTCATTCAGCAAATATTTGAGTCCCTACCAAGAGCTGGCAATGAAAGCAAGAAGAAACAAGAGACATTCTCTTCCTTTGCGAAACTCACCGCACAAGAGAGAACACAGATAAATAACCAGCTATTTTAGAATAACCCTTGTAAGAGCAATGATAAAGATGGACACGGGGGACGACGGCAACTCCAGAGGAGGCCGCCTCAGTGCAATGGCTTCCAGGGGAGAGCTCTGATGTCTGAGTAGGAATTAACCAGGGAAGCAGAGGTGCAAGTAGTTTCCAGAAACAGAACTGTCACGAGCCAAGGCAGAGAGGTATGAGGGAGAGGACAGACTACTTCAATGTGGCAAGGGAGGGCTGCCGGAGATGATGCTGGAATGTGGTCTTGAATGTAACACTGTGAGTGAATCACGTGCGCTTATGACTTTTCCCTGTTTAAAAAACAAACACACAAACAAAAAAACAAACCTTGGTTCCTTAAGTGCATGCAAAATGTACTCTGTGGAGACAAAAGTTATTTCATTTTTAGTTCTGTTTGGCTGCCTATTTTTAAGAATAATTATACACCTTGGAGAGCATTACATGACAGAGAGACATAAATTTTGTACAAATGTCAATTACAGGTTGATCATAAATCAGGTAGCAATTACCTGCCTTTACCAGGGGATAGATAGTGGCAAAGGATGGAAAGTGCTGAACACCTGAAGATAAATCAACTCCTCTTCTGGGAGATGAGTTTATTCTTATTTCAAATCTAGGGTTATAGGGGAGCCTGGGTGTCTCAGTCGGTTAAGCATCCGACTTCGGCTCAGGTCGTGATCTCGCAGTCCGTGAGTTCGAGCCCCGCGTTGGGCTCTGTGCTGACAGCTCAGAGTCTGGAGCCTGTTTCAGATCCTGTCTCTCCCTCTCTCTCTGACCCTCCCCCGTTCATGCTCTGCTCTCTCTGTCTCAAAAATAAATAAACGTTAAAAAAAATTAAAAAGAAAATAAAATCTAGGGGTATAAAGTGTCTGGACACAGCTTGGGAGGGAGGAAGTGCTATGGAGCACCTCGAGGAGCCCCTTACTGGGGAAGAACTGAATCTCATTCCCTATCTCTTTTCTCTGGCAAACTCTCCGAGACTTTCAGTGCTGCCTCACATCGTGCTGTGATCTGTCAGGGGCCTGGACAGGTCAACAGTGGAGTGGGCCTCTGGAGTCTCAGCAGTCGAGTCTGGAATCAAAGCAGGTCTGCCCCTTTTCTGGGTGCAGCAAATACATAAGCACCACATTTAACAAGAGACAGCACTGTAGAGGGCAGCTGACTGACAGACAATTCGATTCTGTCTGAAAACACTGGGGGTTTCCACATCTGCTCTCGTATACCGACTCTGGGTGTCGGAGCATCTTTTCTCCAGCCATCCCGACAAGCTCTGGACTCAGAAGGTTCCTTTGCACCAGTTAAGCAAATCATCGCTTATCAGTGACTTTAGGTAACCTCCGGGTCCTTTAGATGACTTTCATTCTTCTTTGTCCTGGATATTTTAAAATGACAGGTAAAAATATCTATTCTCAGAGCTGTAGGAGATAAAAATGTTTGCCCTGAAGGGAATGAACTCTTGATTTAGCTAAGCTTCATTTAAAAAAGTACATCTGAAATAGAAATACCAGTATTATATGAAATTAAAATCTGACAAACTGCACTATGAAACAGTCTATTTTCTCTGCTGTATTACTTTTTTTGCAGAGTTTGTTTGTTTTGTTTTTTAAACAAGGTAAACTTGGTAAACTGGACAGAATAATGAAGACACCGAAAACAAAAATGTACTTAGTCTGAGACCATGGTCACGTCCTAAGAAGAAAGTGGTTCCTATTAGCAGGCAAGAAGAGACAAATGCTATTTTTCCTTCTCAATGGGACAATAAGGAAAGTGTATCTGGGCCTAATAGACCAAAAGACGGGCAATTTCTGCCAGATCTGGGAGGATTTCTGCTTACCTATTAGTTCTTCTTTATTAACCGATTAACTGCTATTCAACACTCTAGTGCAACTGCTTCATAAAACTCAATTCATCATCGCTACAAGATGGGCATTGTTGTTAGCCCCACTTCGCAAATGAAGGAACTAAGGCTCAGAGAGGCCAAGGAACCTACTTAAGGTCACACAGATATAAAGCTGCAGAACCCCTGTAGGTCTGACTTTCTTCTGCACTTTCATACTATCTGCTCTACTTGTCTCTAGTGACCATGCAAGCTCATTAAGAAGTGAGAAACCACCTCTAC